CGGCAGGCAGGGGACAGGACAGGGGCCAGGGTCGAGGGCGAGTGTAGGAGGGAGGGGGGCCGGGACGAAGGGAAGGCAGGGCTGCTAGCAGCTGCGAGGGGCTCCTGGGGCAGGGCCGTCTAAGCCCACCGCCGTCCTGTGTGCCTGTGTGCGAAGGGCCTGGACTCAGCTGCAGCCTGTCCTCCGACAGCTGGCTCGCAGCTGTGTGTGCCCGGCCCTCGGAGTCGGAGGGGGACGCGGGGCAGGAAGCAGGGCACCCAGCAGGCGGGCTTCGAGTCTCCTTTGCACTTGAAACCCCGCATCTGCTGCTGCTGGCGCTCCCTGGGGCAGGGGGGGGGAGGAGGCTGGTAGGTGGCCCAGTGGGTCAAGGCCCAGGGGCTCCAAGGGGCCCCCACCAAGGTACCAGCAGTTGATGGAGCTCCCTCTGAGCTCCAGCCCACCCAGCTGCTGGTCCCATGAGCCTTTGGGGCCTGGAAGGAGCAGCATGGCCCGAGCTGCGGGGCCCTCCGCCAGCCCCCTTCTGGCCTCCCTGCCGAGCCCTGTCTGCCTGGGCCCCCGCTCATTCATCTCTGCCTCTACGCATCGCTCTCCCTGTCTGTGCTTCCAGGCTCCTCACTCTTTCCTCAGATCTCTCGTCTGTCCCTCTGTCCCTTCCCTGGGGACCGGGTCAGCCAGCCTCACTGTTCTCCGCCCCGCCGAGCACATGTGTTCCTGGACCAGAAGCCAGGATGTGCTTGAGGAAGCACGATGGTGACCAAGTGTGATGAACGCTACAGAGGGAGGCGCACCGGCCTAGGTACTAGCACCACTGGGGGTGCAGGGAGGGCTTCCTGGGCTGCCTTCCAGCCTCTCCCTGGAGTGGCCACACGGGGCTCCTGCAAAGTGAGCCCAGAGCAAGTGCTCTCACCCCAGGGAGGAGCCCCTTACGCCCTAACCTCCAGGACAGATGCCCAGGCAGGGACGCAGCACATGCACACACGGAGGTCACATCCTGAGCAAGCGACCCTGCCCAGAACTCAGCCGAGATCCCAGAGAGGGCCCTGAGGATCCCGGGCACCGCAGCCCCCAAAGCCAAGCTCACATCGTTGTGCATGGGCCTCACTCAGCCTGCTGGCTTCCTGCACTCCCCATCTCCACGGCCTCGGGGGCTGGGCGGTGACGGGGGGGGGGGGGGGGTGAGCCAGGCCCATGGTCACTGGGGGGCAGCCCCTCCCACCCCGAGCACCCCAGAGGCCAGCGTCGGAACCCTCTGGAGCCCAGACGTGGCCTACCTAATGGTGCTCAGGGGCCCCCGGGGTGTGGGAGCCTGGGAACCTTTCCCGAGGCTCACATTAAACACCCAAGAGGGAGCCGACTAGTGCAGAGTGAGCCGAGCCTCCACTATCTGGAAGCTTCCCAGCGCCGATAGCCGAGGTGTGGCCAGTGAAAGCTGGCACTCTGTATGCCAGAGCTTTTTTTGACCTTCCCCCGAGGACATAATCACACAGCGGCTCTCTGGCCCAGGCCGCCAGGCTGTAATTTCAGGGCCCGAAGGGGTCTCCACGGAGGCTGGGCCTGTGTCTGGCTATCTTTAGAGAGGCATGGCCTGGGGTGTGGCCAGATGAGGGAAGGTGGACAGGGGGCTGTGCCACCGGGAGGCGTCTGCGGGCTGCCCAGCAGGCTGGTGCGACACAGGGAGGCCCTGAGGCACCCCGGGAGCCCCTGGTCTTCCGCCAGGGGGAGGCCGGCCCCCAAGAGCAGTGCCTGCATCTGGCTGCTGCCTGCAGGGCCAGGCGGCCCCGGTGGGGACAGTGGGTGAGGGCAGCACAGGGGAGGGGCCTGGGCAGCCCGTGTCTGGCCGACTGGCTCAGCTCACCTGCCATGGTGGCAACTGTTACGGGGCAGGGGCTGGGGGGCGGTGGAACGGGCATGGGGCACACCGTGCTATACATACGCTTTGCTCCTCCCTGGGCCTGTTGTCCTGGAGGTGGGGCCTTGGGCTAAGCTTGCCACCACCTGGGGTACGAGGCAGGGGAAAGGCTTGGAACCAGATGTGCAGAGAGGTCGGCAGGGAGCCTGGCCCCCAGGTGGGGGTGCTGGGGATAGAAAGGAGAAGGCAGGTTGGAGCATTTGGAAGGCGATGGGCAGGACAGCGGGACTGTGGCTGGGCGGGGTGGGCAGAGGTACGTGGCTCCACGGAGGTCCTGGGGAGGAGACATCGGTCCGCCCCAAGGGCTACACCTCTGCTCCCTGTCCCCGTTCCCTACCACTGCACTTGTTGGCCTATGTGTCCCCCTTCCTGGTCCCCACTTGCCCCCACTATCCTGACCCTCTGCCTCCCCCCTACATGGGACTCCTGTCTCAGTCGGAGGGCTGACAACGGCCTCCCTTCCTGCCATCTGACTGTAGTCACCCCTCAGATGCTCAGTGCTTTGGGGGTGACTTACTGGGCCTTGCCCACCCCTGTACCCTCCAGTGGGGTCAGTGGCTGCCCTGAAGAGGAGGGCAGTGGCCTCTCTCATGCTGGCACAAGAGCTGTCAAGGCTGACCCAGGATGTGGGTGAAGAAGGGGCGGCTGCAGGGCAACAGCCGGGGGGGGGGCGGGGTGCTCGGTCCTGCCAGCCGGTATGACGTGTTCGTTCGCTGCCCGGGCTGGGGCTCTGTGGGGACGTCTCCCTGGGGGTGTGCCGTGCCGCCTGGGCAGTCTCCCCTCTAGGCCGGAAGCCCCTGGCCTCTAGCTGCTGGCAAGTCTGCCCTGAGCTCCTGGCCCCTTTGCGGGCACCCCCGTGTAATGACGATGGGCTACGCACAGGCCGGGTCCGCTTGCCCCGCTCAGGACCTGCTCAGCTCCAGAGCACCTGCGGGGCTTGGTGTGGCCGTCGTCTGTCACCGGCCATCTCCCCCGCCACTGCTATTCCTGTCCTCCCATCCCCGGGGTGGTGGCCCCAAGAGCCTCCCAGTCAACTTCCTGGGGGCGAATCCAGTTTTGGGGGGCCCAGTGGCAGATAGCCACTCGGGGCTTGGCTGCATCTGTGCTGCGTTGGGTGCCAGTCTGCTCAGGTGTGGCTTCCAGGCCTGGGTTCAGCCCACCTGACAGCACCCCAAGGGCCCAGCAGCTTCGATCCGAAGTGGGATTTACCCCAGTAACCACCTGGGGCTGCCCACCTCCTGTGTCCCCTGCCCTCCTCTGCCCCTCCTCCTGCCTCCAGGCCAGTGGCCGTGACAAACTGCAGGCCCTGGGACCTGGGATATGGCCAGACTCCTCCTGAGCGTCCCCCATTCCCCGCCCCCCCCATCTGCTCAGCAGAGGTGAGAACAGCAGGGGGGAGAGGCCAGCAGGGGAGGGGGTTCGCCTATCCTGAACTCTCTGTGCCTCCCAGGGCCTGACCTCCGCGACTGCAGGGAAGGGGGGCACGGGGGCTGACCAGAGCAGGGGAGCAGCGGCCGGGCGGGCAGCTGGGGTGGAACGGTCATGAGAGCTGGGAAAGCAGCAAGCCCTCCCTCCCATCGGGGCCAGCGCCTCCAGGGCTGCTGACCTCTGACCCAGCCCAAACAGGATGTGCCATATCTGTGGGCCTGGGCCCCGGAGGAGAAGGAATGCTCCGATGAGTCCAAAGCAAACACTCCCCAAGCTTCCCAGGCCTCTCCCCGCCCCCTGCCCGAGTCTGGCCCTTTCTGGGCTGAGAATTCGGGGGTAGGGGGGGTGGGGGGCTGGCTCTAGAATGGGACCCACACAAGAGAGTTCCCAGGCCCAGACCCCAGCCAGAGGCGGTGGCCAAGCAGGGTCTCTGCAGCGGGTACTCGCTGCCCTTTCTCCCTCTCTCCACCCACATCCGGCGACACTGAAATCCAGGGCCGGTCCTGGTCCCGCCACATCCTTGATGCCTGTCGCCGGGCTCTGTCTCTGGCCCCCACACCACTGTGAGCCTCCCATTGTCCCAGGGGGAGGGCAGGGGCAGGCTCAGCTGTGCTCTCCACTGGTTGCAGAACACTGCCCAGTCCCTCAGCCTCCCTAGCATCGGGTGTGGTGGCATCGTGAGCTGTCAAGGCTGACCCCGTGAAGCCACTAGTGTTGCCCCGCTGCCCTGGTGGCTTCAGGGAGCTCTGCAGATCCCATGTCCCCACCCAGCACAGCTGCCCTGTCCCGTCCTCGGGGCTTGGCTGGGCTGCGCTCTCACAGCTTGCTGGTGTCTGTGTCTGCCTCTCCACCAGGCAGACAGGCAGCAAGTCTGGCCGGGGGGACAGTCACCGCTGGGTTCCAGGGCCAGGCCTGGCCTTCCACAGACCAAGCACTCTCCACCCTTCCCTGGTACCGGGTCTCATGAAGGTACATTCGGGTCCCACAACACTGCCTGAGGACTTTGGGTGTGGCCCTGGTGACCCACAGGCTGGCCTGGGGATGTGCCTGTACCAGACATGGGGGGAGGGGAACCAGGATCAGGCCCCGGGGACTTGGATTAGGGGTAGGGGGGAGGCAAGGCGTCCCTGGTGTGACTGTGAGTGGCTTTAGGACAAAGGGCGGGCACCCCGGGCCTCCACATCAGCGTGCTCTGCCAGCAGAGCCCGGCCCTGTGGGTCCACACCGGGACCCAGATGCCTCCTGGAAGAGAGGTACTGATGCTGTCCTGAGGCGCCGCGCTGAGCTTGGCCCCCAGGTGGCTCGGAGCTGAGCTGCTGAACTGCCACATCCTTGTGAAGGGTGACTTCAGTACCCTGGCCAGGGCAGGTAGGGGTGGGGAGGCTCTTGGAGATGCTTCTGGAACCAGGCCCTCTTAACTCCCTGCTAATAGAGCAGTGTCCAGGATGCAGGCCCTGGGGACTCTATGCACCACAGAGAGCCAGCACGCAAATGCAGCTTAAATCCAGGAGGGAGAGGGGGAGGCTGGTGCGGGCTCCGGGGCTTCAATGAAATGCATTTATTATGTTCCAGTCCAAACCAGCGCTGCACCCTGCTGGGCCATTTACTAAGTGAAGGGGCCTCAGCCCTCAGTGGAAAGTGGGAGCATCTGAAGTGGCTGGGTCTTCTCGATCTTTCTCCTAGTAGTGCAAAGATCAAGTGGAGCTAGGCCTGCCCACCCCCTGTCACCAGTCCTAAAGGAGCAGGAGGCTCCTAGGAGCCCTCCGCCACCCGCTCCTGCTGCTGAGGCCAGAGGACCACGCTGCGATAGACCCGGATGCAGGAGAAGGCGGTGGGCGGGATGCGACGCCGGTCAATAAGGTTGTTCTCCAGGTGTGTGGAGATGAGATTGGAGTTCGGAGCCACTCGAGCCTCACAGATGGAATTCAGGGGCATGTGCCTACAGGGTGGGGGGTGGCAGGGTCAAGCGGAGGAGAGAAGACCTCAGAAAGGGGAGGCAGGTGTCACACAGGAGGAGAGGAGCAGAGGGCTCTGCGGGGAGGGGGCGGTGCCACTGAGGCACAGACACCAGACCCAGGGCAGTGGGTCAGGCAGGTCGCTGCCACCACCTGCCACCTCCTCACCTGAGGCTCAGCCAGGGCCCTCTCACCTCCCCTTTGCCAGCCCCCAGCCAGATTTTTGCCATCTGCAGCCCTTGGCTGCCCGGGCCTGCCAAGCACTGGGCACAGCCTCCTGTGGTGGCAACCGAGATGGACAGGTGGGGACAGCAAACGGTTTCTCCCACGGGCCCACCTGGCAGGCAGGAACCCCTGGCCTCTGCTGCTCTTCCCCCCACCCCCGGCCGGCAGTGCGGGGGGGCTGGGACGGCGTGAGGGGCGCAGGCGGCGGGCCCTACCGGATCTCGTTGTGGCTCAGGTGCAGCACCTGCAGCCCCCTGAGGCCCAGGAGGCCGCGTGGGATGGCCCGCAGCTGGTTGTGGTCCAGCAGCAGCTCGGCCAGGGAGCGGCGAAGGCCCAGGAAGGACGCGCCGCGGATGCCGTCGGTGCGCAGGCTGTTGTGGGACAGGCGCAGGAGCTCCAGGCCCGGCCTCATGTGCGCAAACACGTAGGCCGGGATGCGCTCGATGCGGTTGTGGTGCAGCGTCAGGCGCCGAAGGCCCCGTGGCAGGAAGGAGGGCACGCGCGCCAGGCGGTTGTGCGACAGGTCGAGGACCTCCAGCTTCCTGCGGGCGGGGGTGCAGGCGTGCAGTGAGCCGGCGGGCACCCCGGTCAGGTGCCCAGTGCACACCCCACGAGAGAGCAGGGATTGGCTCCCTGCCGGCAGCGCCCAGCGGTGGGGAAGGGCCGGGAGGCCGGCCAGGCCCTGTCTGGCTTCCGCGTCCTCCTCTGTCTAAAGAGGCTGCGAAGAGGGGATCCGGGTGGGGCTCCTCCTTGTTCACCGCAGGGCCACTGAGGCCAAGGGGCTCCTCCAGTGCACACGGGACGAGTGAGGCGCTCGCCCACCTCCGCCTGTCTCTGCTCTGCCCTCCTCAGCCTGGGTCTCGGCCTCGCGGCCCTTGCCTCTCATCCCTACGCTCTCCTGTCATCTTCCTGTCTCACCCCAGGCTGAGAAGCAGAAGAAAGATCGGGAGGGAAAGGGAAGTCAGGCTCCCGGGGGTCAGGGCTGGGGACCCCGAGGGGTCAGGCAAGCAGGCGGTGGGGCTGGGGTGGCCGTTAGCCCGGGTCGCTGGCTCCACGGCGCGCTGCGGGTCGGAACCAGGGCCGGGCAGGGAAGAGCAGGAACAGAGGGTGGTGATGCTTCCAGCCCGGGGCCGAGCAGGGGAAGCGGCTTTCCTCGCCGATGCCCCCAGCTCCTGCGGCTGAGGTCGGCCCTTCGGCCTTGGGGCCCACGCGGCCCTCAGCCCCCGGGGGTCGGGGCTCCAGTGTCGCCCGAGCCTGCTTTGCCAGCAGCCCCCTCCCCTTCCCCGGGCCAGGGACGAGCTGGGCGGCGCCAGCAGGGCTTGACTGGCCGCCAGCCCCCTGCCCAGGCCCCGCGGTGGGAGTGGAGCGGCTGCGTGGCCCCGCCCTGGGCCGCTGTCTGCTTTCCTTTGCCCCCTTGGCAAGAGGGGGAGAGGAAAAAAGAATAATTAAACCCAAACGTCCTGGTAACTTTTTCCTGGAACGTGAGGGTGCAGGGCGGGAGGCGCTGGTCCCTGCAATCAGGTTGGAGTGTCTGTTGACCCCGGCCTGCCACCCCGCTGCCCGGCCATGGTGGTCGCCAGACCCCCTGGATTGTGCTCCCCAGCCCTCCTGCAGCTTCCCGGGCCGCAGCCTTGCCCCTTAGGTAGGCAGCGCCTATCACGGCCGGCTCTCCTCCCTGGACCCCTTCTGTTGGCGCCTCCACCCTGCTATGCAAACCAGACCATGACGACTCATCCTGGACCCTTCCTGTAGTGGGGCGACTAGTGGCCCCCAAATATATGTCTGCCCAGAACCGGTGAGCACGACCTTATTTGGCAAAGGGATCATTGTCGATGTAAGTGAGGGGTCTCCAGAAGAGCTCATCCTGCATTAGGGATGGCCTGAGATTCAATGACAAGTGTCTTTATGAGAGACACAAGAGGACAGACTCAGAGACAGACAGACAAGGCCACGTGACAACAGAGGCAGAGACTGGAGCGCCGTGGCCACAAGCGGAGCTGAGGGACACCTGGGGCCACCCACAGCTGGAAGAGGCGAGGAAGGACTGTCCCCTAGAGCCTGAAGAGGGAGCGACGCCCTGCTGCCACTTGGCTTTTAGGCTTCTGGCCTCCAGAGCTGTGCGAGTAGAAGACTCTGTGGTCGTAAGCTCCCCAGTTTGTGGTATTTGTCTGGTACGCCCCAGGAAGCTCAGATGCTGTGCTTTCCCATGCCCACTGCCTCTTCCGTGTCCTTCCTGTCCCCGTCACCTCCCTGCTGAACTGCCCTTCTGTCCAGGCCCATGGCACATCCCAGGCCAGCTGGCTGGGGGCCTGCGGGGTGAATCCGGGTATGGGCAGAGGAAGGGGTTCCTGTGGCTTTGGGGATTTTGCTGGGTGGGAGGGACATAGGGAAATCTTGGAGGAGGACGTAGGGGGCTCAGGGCTCAGGCCACCCTGAGCCCTGGGCACAGAGGCAAGATGACCCACCTGACACCAGGCCTGAGCCACAGAGCCACCCCTCCTCCTGTCTGGGTTCCTCTGGGTGAATCCTCCCTCTCTGGCCTCCGTGCACCTGTTGGGGTAAAGCTCAGGCGGTGCCAGGGCAGGTGGCAGCACTCACGGGAGATCAGTCCAAGCTCGGGGTGCCAGCCGGTCCTCCTGGAGCTGGTTGTTGCTGAGCACCAGCACGCTGAGGCTGTGACTATGGTTCAGCATGCCCTCTGTCACCTCCTCGATGACATTGGTACCCAGGTGCAGCTCCTAGGGCCAGGGCTGACGGTGAGGGTGAGGGGCCCACCTGCCCCACCTGGCTCCCTCTCCCCTTGTACCCGGCCCCGTCCGTGAGACCCAGGTGTCAGCATCTCTGTGCCTCTTGGGGCATGGCCACGTGCAAAGGAGCCCAGCAACGTGTGCCAGCTGTGCCGCGGCTCCCCAAAGCCCCACAAGACACAGCCCCAAGGAGCACCATCCAACAGGGGGACCATGTGGCCCGGCGAGGGCCTGAGCCCTGTCCAGGGACACCCAGAAGATCCAAGACAGTCTCCAAAGCCCAACTCCGGGCCTCCGGAAGGTCAGTTAGCCAGAGAGGAGGCCGGGGAGGGCAGAGGCTTTGTGGGTTTATCTCTGAAACTCCCCTCCCGGGCAGCTGGACCCGCTGGTGGCAGGTGCTCCAGGCTTTTGCCTGCAACGCTGCCTCCCCGGCCTGGGGCTCACCCGCAGGGAGGCTGGCAGGCCGGGTGGGATGGTCCGCAGATGGTTCCGGTCCAGCCTCAGGTAGAGCAGGCTGTGTAGGGGCTGGAAGGCCAGGGGAGAGATGTTGCCATCATGCAGCTGGTTCCCTTCCACCTCCAGGGTCAGCAGCCGGCTGAGCCCTGCGGGGTGGGGGTGAGGGTGGCGAGGGCCATGTGAGCCGACTGCAGAGTTCTGGGCGCCCCACTGCCCCTGTACCTGCCAGGGCTCCGGAGACTCCCTGCCCTAGACTCCAGGGTGCCCCTCCCCGGCCGCTGCTCCCTCCTCTGCCCTCCAGCTCCCCAGCCCCCCAGGCCCCTTCAGGCCCCCCACCCCAGGGGCCTGCCCGCACCCCAGAAGCTGCTGTGCTGCAGGCCCTGCAGCACGTTGTCGTTGAACTTGAGCTCCTGCAGGGAGGCGGGCAAGGCTGGCACTGCAGCTAGCGAGTTCCCATCCAGGTTCAGCCGTTTCAGCCGGGTCAGATTCTGCGGGGGGCGGGGGGGGAGCAGAGGGGGCTGGGGACTGGGGTGCCACCAGCCAGGCCAGGGTTGCTGGGCGTGGCTTTGGGCCGAGCCCACCCCGGGGACCCCATCTGGTTGCACTGTGGCTTCCTAGACTCCCAGAACCGCTGCTCCCTCGCGGGGCCGCGTCATCCGCAACCACTGAGGCCCACCGTGCTGGGTACTCCGAGCACTGCCTCCTCCAGGCCTGAGACCCCAGGCAGCATCGGGGGTTGGGGGGGACATCCATGGACACCGGGAGCCATCTAGGATATACAACTCCTGCCGCGGCCCCCGGTCTAGACCCCCTGGCGGCATAAGTGGAGAAGCTGCTGCACACCTTGAAGGCATCCGGGTGCAGGCCCTGGGCATCCAGCTTGTTTTTGCTCAGGTCCAGCCACTGCAGATTGGGCAGCCCCCGGAACGCGTGTGCTGGGATCTTGGCGATTTCATTCTCTGTGCAGACACAGGGTGGCTGTAGTCCCCACTCTCTTGTCCCCCTGCGCTTTGCCAGGACCTCCCCAACCTGGGCTGGAGGAGCTGGCTCTTCTTTGCATTTATTTATTTTAGAGAGACGGAGAGAGAGAAAGTGGGCCAAAGCGGAGGGGGGCAGAGCAAGAAGGAGGAGCAGACTCCCTGCTGAGCAGGGGACCCCCCCCCCCGCCCGCACCCACGCCAGGACCTCAGGATCGTGACCGGAGCCGAAGGCAGACGCTTCACTGACTGAGCCACCTGGGCGTCCCTGGAGCTGGCTCCTCTCACTGTCCCAGGTCGGGGCATCTTCTCACGGCCAACCAGGACCCCCAGGGAGGTGAGCCTTCCAGCACAGCCGCGCAGCAGCCACCGTGGCTGGGGACCCACTAGAGGGCAAGCCCAGGTGTGTGGCCTTCTCAGTCCTGCCACGGGGGTGAGTGTGGGGGAGAGGGGTCACCTACCGGCCAGGTAGAGCGTGGCTAGGCCGGGGTCAGTCAGGGCAGGGATGTGTTTCATCTTGACATTGCTGCAGGCGATGGCTGCCCGGGCCAGGACGCAGGAGGCTGGCAGGGGGGGCATGGCCTGCTCGGCGGCACCCAGGTCCGGAAACCTGTGTCCGTGCCCTTGCCTGCTCCTCGGCCTCTTCCGCTCACGGTCCGTGGTCTCCTTGGTGCAGCCGCCACCTTGGCCTTGGCTGTCATCCTTCTTTTGATGCTGGCTCCCTGAGTCAGGTCGGCGGAGGACCCCTGGAGGACAACAGACGTGGCCCCAGCTTGGTCACATGGCACCAGAGGTCTGTCGAGGGGCAGGAGCTCGCCTGGGGCCCCCTGGACCTGCCGGAAATTGGCTGGAACCAGGCCGCTGGGCCCCTTCCCTTAGCACGAATGGGGGCCCCCAGGCCAGGGAAGAGAGCCAGGCTTCGAAAGCCTCCTCTCCTGCCTGTACACCGGGCCGCCCGGCTTGGGCTCGCTGAGAGTAGGGCGCGGTCCCAGGGGCGGGTGACGCCGGGATGATTGCGGGAGATGTGACCCGGCTTCAGCCACCGGAGGTTCGGGCACAGCCCTGTTACCCCCTGCAGGCGCCTGTCCTGGCCAGTTCCCACCTTTGGGGGGCCTCCTGGGCTTTGGGCCCCTTCTCCTGGCCCTCCGGCCTCCTGTCTTCCTGCCTTGACCTTCTCTGGTGGCCACCGCCCGCTCTTGGGCTTCGGCTACGGCCTGTGGCTGGGCCCACTTGCTGCTGGGCCCCTTGTAGTGACTCCACTCCTGGTCCCAGGCTGCTGGGGGCGACGCCTCCCTCTGAGCCGGCCCTGGCCTGGCAGGGGCCTTCCGGCTGGGGCCTGGGGGCTGGGTGCAGGCTTCATGGGCTCCTTCCTCAGGCCTGTCCAGGCCGCCGTTGCTGAGGGTGGGTCGCGCCTGACCTGCAGAAGGAGCTGGTATGGGCTGGGGTGGCTGGGCCCCCCGCCTGGCTGAGAGGCTGCATCTCTGTCCTAAGAGGGGGATCAGCCACAGGCTGCACCCCTTCCCTCCTCTCTCTGCCCAGGCCTCACTTCTTCCTCCCTCTCCTATCCTCAGGAGATCTCAGCCTTCTGTCACAGACCCCTACCTCCCGAGGTCACCAAGTATCTCCTGCCTGACTTTTCATGGCCCCAGACTGGAGGACCCCAAGCACCAGAGAGAGAGCAGCGTTCTGCTCAGTGCCCCGCCTGCCTCCCCTCTAACACATGGCAGCCCTACCTTAACGATCCATGGGCATCCCTTGCAGGTCCTGCTGTCTGCAGAGGGTGGGTGCCTGGGCCCACCCACCAGCTCCTCTTATCCCAGCCCTGCACCTTGGGGTGGGGCAAGCAAATGTGGAGCCAACCACTGGCCTGTGAGATGGTCACATCACAGCTGGTCTCCCGGGGCTACTTGTGCCACCCCTCCCAAGCTCCGGGTCCCCCACTTGCAGCCTCCCACATGTCTCCCAGTCTCCTCAGGAGGTCTTAGGGCACTTGGATCCATGACTCCAGCCCTAGCTGCAGTGGCCCCTCCTAGGGGGGCTCCTTCCCTCCCCTGCCCTCATCCTGGGCTATGGGTACTGCAAACCCCCCTTACCCTCAGAGAGGGTTCCCTGAGGCCCAAGGGTCTCTCCTAGCCCCCTTGGAATTATCCAAGGGGAGCACTGGGTGGGCAGCCTTGGGGTTACCAAACCTTCTTCTGCCCCTGCTCCTGGAGGGGGGATTCTAATAACAAGGCAGAGTGCTCCCCTCCTGCCAGCCTTTCCCTGCTGGTGCCACCTACTTACTCACCTTTGGGGGGCCCAGGCCAGCTGGGCGGTGGGGGCTGCAGGGTCAGCATGCCCGTGGAGGTTGGCGTTGCCGCGGGCTCTCTCGGGCTCAGCCCCTGCTCGGCCAGGGCCCCTCCAGGGCAGCACCCCACCCAAAGAGCCAGGACTGGGAGCATCATGCTCCTCATGGCCACTTCGCTTGGGCCGCGCAGGCCTCCTGGGCCAGCAGAGGGGCTGAAGAGCTGGGAGCGGTGGAAGCGGTGGCCACAGCGCAATGGGACACAAGAGGGACGGTGCACACGGTCCTGCGCCCTAAGCTCCTGGCCCCGGCTGCAGCACTAGGAGCCTCCCCCACCTGCCCCAGCCCTCCCCCAGGAAGGACACCCCCCCTGCAAACAAATACCTCCTAGGCCTTGCCCTCAACCTCCCCCCCATGTCCCCTTCTCGCACCTGAAGAGAAAGACATATTGATTTTTCTTGGACTCCAGTGCTCCCGGTCTTTTGCTGGAAGGCCTGCATTCTCCACTGGACCAGGCCCAGTGGCCCCCATGAATGGGGTTTCTGTCTCTGCACACAGTGGGCCTGTGAGGCCCACCACAGGGCGAGCCGCCCGCCCCGGGCTGCCAGGTCCTCCGTCCACGGCCGGGAAGGGAGCGGAGTGGGCCGTCGGGCTAGGGGGCAGGTGCCAGGGCCGCCGAGGAGCCGCCAAGCCTGTGGGCTTCTGCCACGGGCGCCCGTGCCGAGGCCTCCCGATTCCGGAGGCGACCACGCTTGGGCAGAGCTAGGGTAGCGAGCATGGGCCCCGCCCTTTGGGGCCCCAGTGCCCCTGGGCCCGGGCCTCGGGTTGGACCCCCCAGCGGCTCCCTGACTACCCCTAGGCAGCTCCCCTCCCTCCAGAATTCCATTTTCTCCTTTGGAAAAAGTAGGGGGGGGGTTACACATCCTGCAGCCTCTCCCGCTGCGCCACCGTCCCTCGCTAACCTGCACGTGCACCAGGGGCTGCTGGGTCCGGGTGACCACTGTCAGAGGCGGTCCCGGGATGCCCCCTTGCCTCAGGCATGCCCTCTTGGTCACAGAGGCACTCGAGGATCGGCTTGGGCCAAGGTGGAAAAGAAGCCGGTCTGAGGGGTCTGAGGGAAGGGGCTGCAGGGTGGACCAAGAGGCGAAGCAGGGGGTGTCTGACCGCAGGCCTCCGGCCGACCCTCGGAGGGCCCCAGCCCCAGGCCCCACGGTGGGAGCCGAGGGCGGGCGGGCGGGTGGGGGCTGGCAGAGAGGTCCAGTCTCACCACATGGCTCTTTGGGGCCAGCTTTGAGGAAGGTTTTCCTACAGCTCTGTCCAGCGTTGACTTATGTTTGGAAGCGATCTGAAAAAATGAGTTAATTGTGGGCAAGGCCGGGGTGGAGGGGAGAGGGGGAAGCTCGGGGAGGGTGCAGGGATCGGGGAGCAGGGCCAGGAAGGGCCATCTGGATGGAGCTTCCCACCACCATCTGGGGTTCGAGGTCTCTGTCCAGGGCACAGGGGAGTGTGTGAGATGCAGGTGGAGGGGGCGGCTGGGGGAGAGTCAGGGCGGGGAGGCCCCAGCAAGAGGGTCTTCACTGGGCTCCTCAACATTTGCACACGCAGGTCTGAGAGCGGGGTGCGGCGGGGACATGGGACTTGCTGCCTTCAAGGAGCCCCCATGCCAGCAAACAGTCTCATAAGAGCCACCCGGGGTCCACCGGCACCCTCTCCTGTGTCCCGTCCAGGGCTCTGGGTTATGGCCTGAATCTGGGACCGTGCCACTCACAGATCAGAGACGGTCTGTGGAGTGAGCACGACCAAGGGCCTAGGGAGCCAAGGTTGAAGCCAGCAGTGTGCCTGTGTGGCCCGGGGTGACACAGGATGTCTTGGGCTGCGGGGCTGTTGAAGCCCAGGGACGGGGAGCACTCAGGCAAGGGAAGGCTGTGAGGGGTTCACCCGCGGATCCCGGAAGACCGAGTGCTCCCAGCCTCCCCAGTACAGACAAGGAAGCGGGGGGGGCGGGGGTAGGGCTTGCCCAGTTCAGGGCATTGCCTGGGGAGGGGTAGGATCCTTTCTGAGGGGGCCCCTGGAGCCGGACTGTGGCTGGAGCCCTTGCTCTGACCCTCCCCCTGCCTGGGGATGGATTCTGGAATCCTGGCCCCCAACCCATTTCCCCTGTTCGTGCCGCTCCCCAGGCGCTGACTAAACATCCTGCCATCTGGTTCCCATTAGCTGGGCTGGGGGTGGGAGGAAGCCTGCTCCCAGGTTTCTCTGGTACAGCAGTCTGGAGGAGGGAGGGACCCCTCTTCTACCCACCTAGGCAGGAAGGGGCGAGGCCTGGTCCCCGTCGGATCCCCAGCTCCCATGGAGTCCTGTCCTGCTGTCCTCCTCCTGCTGGGGACCCAGGGGCCACCTGGCCACCTGCTCGTCCGGTCTTGGGGCACCTGGACATCATGGGGACCTTGAGGCAACCCCCCAGGGAGCAGAGCCAGCCTGCGGGGGTGGGGGTTCAGCAGAACTTGAGGTACCCTCCCACGCCCACCCTTCGTGCACACAGAGCTCGCTCGTGGACTTGGGCTGGGACAGGCAGGGCCCCCGGCCAACACTAACCCCGAGCCTAGTGTCTGGAGCGCAGGGCGGGAGGGGTGTCGGGATTTTCCAGGAACCACGGATACAGCCTGGGGGTTGCTGGAAAGAGTTTTGGGCTCACAGCTCTGCCCTGGACAGACTGGCCATGTGATGTCGGGAGCGAGTCTCCCCGCGCAGGGCCTCGGCCTCTCCATGTTAATGAGGTGGGTGTGCGCTCTCTGCAGAGTTCTAGAATCTGAGAGCTGGAAGGGGCCTAGAGTCACATTGGATGACCAAGGTTGCTTCCAGCCGCGGGGTCCTAGGACTCTAAGGGCAAGGAGCAGACTCCGGGTTCTCCTCCCCCCGCCCTGCCCTTCCACGTGGCCCACTGTCCACACACTCATGCACACCCGTGCGCACATGTACACCCGCACAAGTGGGGCGCTCTGATTGGCAGCCGGGAGGATGCCAAAGCAACACTCCTCATCCCTGGAGCCTCCTTAGAACCGCACAGCCGAGAGCCCTCCTCCCATCAAGGGAGGATCTGAAAACGGATTCTTGGCTCAGGGAACATTCCTGAGCCCCCGCTGTGGGGAGGCACCACGCAGGGCACTGGGTGGGGAGCGCAGGGACCCCTCATCATGGTGACTGGGCGGAGGGAAGCTTTGGATGGCGGTTCAGGTGAGGACTGTGAGGAAGTGACATTTGGGGAGACTCTTCACTGGAGCTCTGTCCGCCCTTCAAAGGGGCAGGGTGGCCGCTGGACGGCTGGGAGGCAGAAAGGGCGGGAGAAGCAGCAAGCGGACGGTGCGCTGGAGCAGGCTGAGTGAGGGACAGGGCTGGGCGGGGTGGCAGGCTGATTTGGCTGTGGCCTTGAGGGTAGCGGGGAGCCACCGTGGGCTTCGGAGCCGAGGGTTCGCAGCACCCCACTTACGTTGTAAAGGGATTTCACAGGCGGGGGTGGAAGGCCGGCTTGTGGGGGGACACAAGGGAGGACACGGGAGCCAGGGTGGAGACAGCTGCACCCCCTAGGGCGAGGTGGTGGTGGCTGGCGCAGGGTACAGGCCACAGGTCAGAGAGTGAGTAGAGTCGAGAGCTGAGTGCCGAGTAAGCCCGGGGCCCAGCTCAGGAATCCACCTCCTGACCCGTCAGGTGGAGGGCCGTGGTGAGACAGCCAAGCCGTGACGTCCAGAGGGTCGTCCCGCATACGACGACTCCAAAGCCCGGGGCCAAGGTCTGGCTGCCAGTCCCGCCCTCCCACTACCTGTCATTTGGCGAGTGCATCAAGGCCCTACTGTGTGCCAGGCCTTTGGCCAGGAGCCCCGCCGAACGAGGGAGCAGGCCTGGTCTTGAGCCTCGTCATCATGTCCAGGTCACACTGACACCAGCGTGTCCCTGTGTGCCCGGGCACAGGTGCCGATGCACTCGGGTGCTGGCCCTACCCACGCGGATGTGTGGGAGGGCCTCTCGGGGAGCGCACTCAACCATCTGTAGCGCGTAAATAAGGGTACGGGCCGTTCCCCCCTCAAGCTCTGAGAAGAAAAGAGCCAAACTTTCTATGCGCTCTTCCTGTTGCCCACAGTTCCTTCCTGAGAGAAAACCCATCTTGTTTCAATGCCATTAAAACCTCAGAGGATCTGGTCCCAATTAAACAACTTTTTTTGGCAGATGCTTTTGTGAGCACTAACTGCATCAGCCCGTCCAGAGACCTGGTGTTCCTGAGCGAGCCGGGGAGGGGGTAGACAGACGGACAGACAGACAGAGGAAGGGGAAGGAGGCAAGGGGAACACAGAGCCCCAAGCAGCCCAGCCATGGCTGGGGATGGGGTGATGGAGAAGAAGGTGCATCCGTGGTCCCCGTAGAGGAGCCATGGCCTTGAGCTGCTGGGGCGCAGGCATCCCTGGGAAGGTCCCGTGGCCTGCGGCCTGGAGGGGGTGGAGTCTGGCAAGGGGGGCTTTGGGCCACAAAGGTCCCAGGTGGCTGCTGTGGCTGGGATGAGGGAGCAGGGCCATGATTGGAATTGGGGTGCGTGGGGGCCACTGGCCCATCTCCGTCCCGGCTCCGAAACCCAGTTGGATCCTACCCATAACTTGGGCCCCGGGGTGGGCGTGAGGGGGTGCTCAGGCAGGGATCCGGCTGGGTGCTGGCTGGGGGCGTGGCTCTGGGGAGACCAGGTTGAGCGCCCCCTCCCCTGCCGGGCCCTCAGGAGTGGGCACGTTCGTGTTCCAGTCCTGGCGCCTGCGTCTCCAGCTCCAGACGCATGTGACTCAGCCCTGCCGGCCTTGCCAAGCCGTCTAGACCCGAGTGTCTCCCTGCGGAGGGGGCCATCCCGCCCGCCTTTCCTCTCCTGCTGCCCCGGCCAGGGCCTGAGCCCCAGCACACACGTGCGGCAGCCCCCTCCCCCGCCCCCTCCCTGCCCCCAAGGTGCCCCCCTGCCAGTGCCTCACAGCCACCCCCAACCTTCACCCTGCGGGGTGCAGCGCAGCCCCTGCACGAGGGGAGCATGGTTGGGGGGGCTTTAGCTGGGATCCCAGAAGCCTCCAGGGGCCCAGCCTGCACCCCTCCCCACGGCATTTTTGGAGCCTGGGTCAAGAAGGCAAGTGAAGCCCCTCACCATGTCCCTCCCCCTGTCTCTCCACCCCCACATTCCTTCTCACCCCGGGATCCATGGGGGCCAGGAGCCGACTGGTGGGTCCACCCCCAAGCCTGCAGCCTGGCTCTGTCCACACCTCTACAGATGCCTGCAGTGAGGAGGGACTTCTCAGACCCTCCCAGACCCTGGGAGTAGCCCGAGATCTGATCTGGGTCCTAGGCTGTGAAATGTGCCCTCGCAGGAGGTTGGGGCCTGGGAGCTGCTGACGTCCCCACAGGCTCCAGGGGCCCCTCCGCGGCGGGAGGTGAGGCTGGGGCCCTGGAGCAGGAGGCCCAGGCCAGGCCTAGGCTCCCTTAGGTTTCCCGTGGGCAGGGAGCCAGCTGCCCTGCCTTAGGTTGCCGTGGTCCCTGCCCCAGCACGGGGACCAAAAGTGACAGGAAGAAGAGGCCAAGGTCCCCGGACAGCTTCTGCATCCTCACGTGCCAGTAGCCTCCCGGTGTCCACACAGAGGTCCAGAAGGACAGCATTCTAGAATGGGTTGTCATCAGTCTGCTCCTAGATTGACAGTCCCATCCATGCAGTACTCGGATGGGAGCCGACTGACTCCTCCAAGCCTGTGCCTGTGGCAGGCCCCCATCTGTCAGGCCCATGGTGGCAGCTCTGTCATCCTCCAGACTTAGGAGACGCCAGTAGCCTGTGCTTGGCCAGACCAGTCCCCAGGGCCTTGAGGTGGGTGGGTCACTCTTGTTCCGAGGACCCTCTAGGCCTCATTGCCCATGTGGAAGTTCGGGGTCTCGGCAGCCTTTGTGGCTTTCCTGTCTCCCCTGCCACGGCCCTTCCTTCCTGGTTTTCCACTCGCTCTCCCATCTGTGTGAAGATGGCTGGCTTTGGGTGGGCTCCTGGCTGGCACGGTGTCGTGGTTGGCTGCGAGATGCGGGCACCAGGGTGAATGGTGACCGACCGCTCAGTGCGGTGGCTCAGTCAGGGGCAGGAGGGAGCAGGTAGGGAAGGAGGAGGGGGAGCGGGAGGCAGGCTTTACCTCGCCTGTGGAGAGTCCTGGCCTCAGACCATCCTCAGCCTGACCTCATTACCCTGTCTCGTCCCCCCCCCCCCCCCCCCCGACATCAGGACTGGCCTCTTACTTCTCCCACGGACTGGAGAAGCTTCTTGTTCCATGAGTGAATTCTTCCTCTGTAATGTCACACACGCACTCGCCACTTGCCTTTTCTTCCAAGGCTTGCATTGGTGCTCACCAGGGCAGGTGGTGAGGAGTCCCTACATCCCCTCTTCCTACCGGGGAACCACGCAGGTGAGGGGAGTGGAAGGGGGAGGGAGCCTCGTCCCTGGACGGTTCCACCTGTCGGGGCAGGAGTGTATGGGCAACAAGGCCCGTCAGATGCAGCGGAAGCCGGAAGCCGGTCTGCTCTCTGCTCCTTGATGGGGAGGAAAACCCTTGCACTCCACCTTCCCTTGATTGGCAATGCCTGCTGCGGGGTGGGGGGCCCTGGTTAAGACCCCCCCTGCCCCCGACCCCTGGGATCTGCTGCTAAAGACAGCTGGAACGTTGCGGTGGAGATGCTCCCGGGGCCTTCCTCTTGCCTGATGCCCCGCATCTCCCACCAGCAGCTGCTGCTCCGGGGCAGGGAGGCCATCGGGGGCAGGCAGCTGGCTGGCTGTCCGCTCCTGTGCCCACTGCACAGACTGAGGTGCCTCACGCGGCTGGCTGCCTTGGCCTCCACTGCCTGCCAGCCCATCCCTGGCACAGTGGGGCCAGTGCCTGTCAACTGGCCTCATTTTCCAACCTGTTTTCCAAGTTCTGACACATGGCTGAGGCCCTGCTGGGACCCATGGCCAAGTTTCCCCCATGATCAGGAGGTTGGCTCTTGTTGCACGAAGTGCCTCGGTCTGCCCGGGGATCCACACTCTCCACAGACCCCCTACCCCTACCAAATCCCCTCCTACGATGGGTCCTCCGGCCTCATCTTTGACCCCTGACCCGCCGAAGCCTCTTTCACAGGACCCAGTGCTTTCAGCGGGGATGCTCCTTACAGGGTTGTGCTCTCCTTCCTCACTGTACTTACCCACCCTTTGGTATCCCTACCCACGTGGCTCCCTGGGCTTGCACACCTCCCAAGACAGGGAGCACTCTCCCTTTCCGGGCAGCCAGCCACTGTTTCGAAAGTGACCTCTGGGAGACGTGCTTCCTTGTGTTGAACTCCAGTCCAGGTTTCCAGAAGGTTCTACCAGCCGGCCCCTTCTTTCCCCCTCCCTGAGAGGCCCGGCAGTCTCTGTTCTCATCCCAGCGTCCAGCCTTTCCAGTGGAGGATGCTTGGGAGGAGGCACCATGATTTAGTGGTGGTGTGTGCAGGTCTTCAGCAGCCGTCTCCATGAGCTGAGGGCTGGCCAGCACGTCCTCCGCTCAGGACGATGGACCCCATGACCTCTCAAGACGGTTTTCTCCCTTCGAGGGCCTGCCAATCCCTCCACGTCCCACCCCATGCCATAGATGGAGCTGCTCAGTTGGGGAAGGGCTGCTCAGAGTATTGGCTCCATCGGGCTGGGTGGAGAAGGGGAACTTTCTTCCAGAATACACAGGGGCTTGTTTCTTCCTGATCCTCAGGAGCAGAGGATATGGGGAGGGTGGGGGAGGCCACCACACTGCTGTGGTTTCTCCCGCCAAATTCCCCAGTCCTAGGAAAGATCCACAGAAAAACCCACAAGAATTTGAATGTCTGAGCTGGGGCTGTGATTGAAATGAAATTTTTTAAAAAGAAAGAAAGAAAAACAAAAACAAAAAGAGAGAGAGAGAGAAAAAAAGATAAAAAAAAAAAAACAGCCCAAAGCCCCTCCAGCCTTCAGCTGTCAGAGGGCCCAAGGCAGCAGGCCTGCTGGCCAGGGGAAGGGGCCTTAGCGTGGTTTGCATGAGCCTTCAGCTCACTTGCGAGGCTCTGCGTCGTCAGAATAGCTCGGAATTCCGAGTTCAGTAGGGAACCGGGCCCTGCCCTGCAAGGCCAGGCTCAGGGGTGTTTCTGTTGACCCTGACTGCTGCATACCCCGGGCCTGGGACGGAGCTGAGAGACATTTCCGGTCACTCACATGCCTGCTGCTGCCTCTGCCAGGTCCCTGGGTCCCTCGTTTCTGGATTTGCCTCTTGATCCCTCTCTGTGGGAGGTGGCAGGGCAGGACACAGAGGAGGGAGACCCTCCGGAGAGGGCTGAGTGGGCAGCAGCTGCTTGCCACAGGCTCCCGACTCCCTAGGCACCAGGCACCCTTCAACCCCTCCTGCTCCTCACATCAGTAGGCCCCAGGGATGGGGTGTTGGAGTCTGGGAGCCGATGGGTCGTTGCATTTCGTGCCAGACTCTTTGAGCTCGAGGGCTGTGAGAGATGTAAAAAAATATATAAGTGGATGGGGCAGGAAGGAGCCTCAGAACCTTCCAGAAGTATGAAAGACAGAATGGGGGAGGAGGAGGGGGAAGTAGCAGGGTCCAGCATCATAACAGTGACCATCCATATAGTGCTTTGTCTGCGTCAGGCATTGTCGTAGGAATCATTACGTCACCCATGTTCATAGCAACCCAGTGAGGTCAGCGCCCCCGTTATTCCCCACTAGGTGAGGGCAAGGGGGCGCAGAGAGGGTAGGTAACCTGGCCAAAGTCACTGAGCTGGTGACGAGGGGGGCCGCATTCCCACGCAAGAAACTACAGCAGCGACTGCGGAACCGGGAGCCAGAGCCCCGCACGGGGAGCGGGACGCAAGGCCCAGCTCAGGCGCACCCGCCAGGCGGCTCTGCAGCGTCGGGGCGAGCCGGGCCCGGGCAGGAGCGCCCTCTCCTGGGGGCGCCTGGCAGGGGCGGTGGAGCGCGGGCAAGGACGAGGGCCCCGCCCCTTCCCGGGGCCCGCCCCTCCCCTGGCCCCGCCCCTTCCCGGGGCCCGCCCCGCCCCTTCCCAGGGCCCGCCCCGCCCCTTCCCAGGGCCCGCCTCCTGGGCGGAGCCCAGGCGCACGTGGAGCAGCGGCCCAATGGGAAGGCGCGGCGGGGCCCGGGGGGGCGGGCGGGCCGCGGGGCTCCGCGTTCGATTGGCAGACGCGCCGGCCAGTGCCTCCGAGGCGGAGGTGGGCTGCGGCTCAGAGCGCGAAACATGGCTGGGCTGGGCGGCGGCGGCGGCGACGGCCGCGACGGCGGCCACAAGGCCGGGGACGACGAGGGCGTGCTGAAGGCGGCCGTGGAGGTGTTCGGGAAGCTCAAGGTGCCGCGGGCCCGGGCAGGCAGCCGGGGCAGCGGCGGCCGGGCGGCGGGCGGGCAGGGCCTACCGCGGAAGCCGGCTGGGTCCCGCGCCGCGGCCTGGGGCCGGCCTCCGCTCCTTGCGCGGCCTCGCGCATTCGCGGGGGCTGCCTCCGCGCCCCGCGCCGCGCCGTGGCTTCTGTTGCGGGAATCCTGCGGGACCTGGCTGCGCAGATGAAGCAGACGCAGACGCGGGGAGGGCCAAGGCCCTGGCCTCAGGGAGCTCGCGGGGTCCAGGGGGACACCGGCAGAGTCGGTGCCACCCTGCCGAGTGGGCGTCGGATGCCCGCGGTAGCAGGAGTGAGGAAACCGGTCCCAGGAGATCCGATAGCCGTCCCAGGGGCCGCAGGCACCGGCCCCGCTACGCCTTCCCCCTCCGCCACCCCTCCCCCCTTCTCCCTCCCCCTCTCTCTCCCTCCTCCTCCCCCTCCTCCTCTCCCTCCCCCCCCCCCAACTCCAGATAGGCGCTAGATTCCTCGTGGTCCCATGCCTGGGACCTTGGACCAGAGTCTCGGACTCATGCCGAGGCCCCTAGTTGCTACCAGGTTAAACGGGGATACTAGCCTACAGCGGGCATACTTAAAGGAGGTGGGTGGCAGGCCACTGGGGATGTGGGCTGAGAATGAAGAGACCTTAACTCTGGGCAAGATGGACGGAGAACCCTACCAACAGGCCACTTGCACTCAGTATGGGGGGGCCTGGGGGTGCGGACTGGATGTGTGCTAAGAAGCTCACATGTGCTTGGAGGGTAGTAAACGTGTTTGAAGAAGGAGCATTTCAGCCCTTAAGTCCTTCTCGATTTGTAAAGCTTCCCTGTTTTCCTTTTCTTTGCTCAGGATCTCAAGTGCCCTGTCCTTGAGGGTCTGTATATCACAGAGCCTAAGACCATTCAGGAGCTGCTGTGCACTCCCTCGAAATACCGCTTGGAAATCCTGGAGTGGATGTGTGTTAGGTAACGTCTTTGTTGCTTCCTCTCCATCCCTGGGGTGTGCCAGGCACCACTCAGCCCACCTGGGCAAGATGGGTGTTTGATATTGTGATAAGCAGTGGTACTCCGAGATGTCTCCATGCCCTACCGCAGGTCCTCATGAGAACAGCTGTTGCTAAGAAGTGCCAACCATGGAAACCATGCTTGAATTTGCCTTGAAAGTGCCACCCCCACCCCCCATGCCAGGGCTTCAGGGGGTCCGTTTGCCACCTTGCTAAAGTGTTAACTTGGGCTTCTCACTGTTCTCATTTTACTAGTTTTAGGGCTGGCAGGGGCCTCAGTCTTTCCCTTCTCACACCGGACGTGTGAACTGTCTTGTGTCTTGCCATTGAGGAGTGAGAAGGAGGGCCAAGACCCTGTTTCCCAGTCCTTCACAGCAAGCAGTGTCCTGGTGGGTGTGCCTGGCACTCTGCAAGGAAAGCAAAGCCTACTCAGATGGCGAAGGGCAAGATCCAGAAAGTCCCAAGGAATGTCTGTCTCTTGGGAACAGCAGTCCATGAGTTGAGCATCTGTCTTAAAGCTACAGTGGGGAAGGCTTGACTAAGCCTGTCATGGAGCACAGGCTATGGTGCTGTTGACCGTGACCCCCAGGGCCCTCTCTGGAGTGGCTATGGTTGGTTGGTACAGGAGTCTCAGGAGGCCAGGCCTGTTCCTCTTCAGCCTTGCTTCTCTGCCCTTGTAGCTAAGGGAGATTCCTGGGCAGGAACCTGGTGGTGGAGTGGCGATGGTGCAGCCTGCCCACAGCTGGCGCATCTGTCAAGCCACGGGACACCCTGGCCTTGGGCTGGGTATCCTATGAATGGCTGCAAGGGAGAAGAGGCATTTTTATGTTTGAGCCTGTCCTGCTGTCCTCCAGCCCTCCCCCAGGTCCTACCTCGGGCCTCTGCTCACAGCGCTCTCACACCCTATTGTTCTCTTCCTGTACACACCCTCAGGTCTCTGCATGTCGCACATTCTCTTATGTAGCTCACACATCCCAACTTCTTTTAAAAAGTCTCCAGCTTCCAGGGAAAGCATATCCTTCTTCCTCCGCCTGGATACCCACATTTTGACCATGCCCCTCGCAGAGCCCTCAGCCCATTGGTTCTGTCTTGGCCTGCTGTCCTGTCTGGCTATCCAAAGCACTGGGAGCTGCTGGAGGCCAGGTACCAGGCAGGACTCCTGTGTCAGCCCCAAGCTGCAGCATGATGCTGTACATACTTGAAATGTGCTCCATGCTGTTGGCTGACAAGCAGGTGCATGGACACGTGCACACCCATGTATCATTCCAGGCACCTCAGGCACAGATGGGTGTCCCCAAGGCCTGGGGGCTCTGGCGACTGCAGAAGGCCCAGGCCTGAGTCCCACTGTTGGGCATACCTCTGCGGTCTGAATGTTGCGGATGTTGGCACAGAGGAGGTGGCATCTGGGAGGGGATGGGTAATGGTGGGTGCTCATTTCAATAGGAGTGAGGAGTCGAGGTATGGAAGGGAGAGCTGGGCAGCAGTGGCCTGAGCAGCAGCTTAGGGCAGCTCATGCAGAGCCTTGCAAGCCCCATGAGGGCCTTTCCACTTTATACTCTGGGCAGGGCAGTCATGGGACCAGGGAAGCATCACACTGAAGTTAGCATTTTGGCAAGGTGACTCAGGAGTTCTGTGGTGGATGGATTTGGAGGGGTGAGAGTGGAGGCAGGGAGACTGACGTGGAGACTATTCCAAGAGCCCCAGGAAAAGGTGACAGGAACCTGGCTTGGAGTGACAGATGGCTCGCATGATGGCCACTGCCAGCCCTGAAAGTGCATGGTCCAGGAGTCTGGGAGGAGAGGCAGTAGTGGCGATGGCCTAGACTAGTGCAGGGGTCTCGAGTGTTCCCCCAGGACGAGGTGGGCATAGCCGTGTCTTGGAGGTGCTCTCATGGAGGGAGCCCAGATTTGCTTGGCTTAGGCTGATGCTGGGGACTGGATCACCCTACTGGGTGGGAGGGGTGGGTGGGAGTCTATGGGTACATTCTTCAAATGCTTTCAGTACTTTTATAAATACAAGAAGCGGAATTCTTTGGAGGAATAGATAGGGAATGTACAGTTGTATCCTACCATCCCAAGCTGGCAAAGGGCCATAGGGTTTTCAAGGTCCCCAAAAGAGGATTGGATAGAGCTCAGCTTCTCCCACGTTTCATGTTGGCTTTCTTTGCACGTAGATTCACCAGTTCAGCCCTCGCTTAGGGCTGCCTGGTCCACCCCACTCTGGGTGGAACCTGGAACCTGCACCCAGCCTTGGCCTTGGGGCTCAGCATGCTGGCTCTGGGGGACCCGTGGGCTGAGCTGGCCCTCGGTGTGGGGGCAGGGCCGAGCTGCAGGGCCCCCTGCGTGGCCAAATTCAAGGCACCTGGGTTTCCTTGACTCCCAAAGAGCTGTACTTGCTTTTAAGACCTTGAGTGCCTTTAGTGTCTGCCCTGCTCCCTGCTGCCTCGGGAAGATCAGCTTTAATGAAAGCCCTTTCTGAGTGAGGTCACTTAGGCTTCTGTGGATTTGTTCTTTAGTGTGGTGAAGTGGTTTGCCATAGTCCAGCCTGATGGATCGCTGAGTGTGCTCTGCTGCTTGCTGTTTCAGAAGTGGGAATGTTGCCCAGCAACCAGGCCCGGGGCCCAGCCTTGTAGCATTGCGCATGGTGGGGGCTTCTTCTGCCCCTCCTGCCCCACCCCTCTTTGGCAGAATAGCTGGTTGCCTTAGTGGGTCGTGAAGACAGGCGGTGCAGCCGAGGCCCCCTCTCTGCTCTAGTCCTACAGCGTGGGGCCTGGGACCTCAGGTCCAGGGTGGCCCCGCCAGCTCGCAGGGCCCCAGTACGGTCAGGGCAGGTGTGACCTGGGACGCAGGCGTTCATTTGGAGGCATGGTCCCAGGGAAGGAGAAGTGAGCCCTCTCCACGCTAGGTCAGCAGGTCCCGAGCGCCGGCGGGCCTCCGCACCACGAGGGCAGAGTCGAGCCTGGCCCTCACTGTCCTGTGGAGAGAACCTCTATCTTTCCGTAGGGAGGGCCTGACCTGGTGGTGGGCCCCGAGGCCCCCTGGCAGGCAGGCGGAGCTCTTCCTCCCGGGCCTTGGTGCTGTGCTAGGCCTGGAGCTCAGGGCCGGGATGTAGTGCTCAGACTGTCCCCTGCTCATGATAGAGACCCCCTAGGGGGCCTGCCTGGGTATTATAGCTCTTACTGCCTTTATTATTTTTTTTAAGATTTTTATTCATGACATTCAGAGAGAGAGGCAGAGACACAGGCAGAGGGAGAAGCAGGCTCCACGCAAAGAACCCAATGTGGGACTTAATCCCGGGACTCTGGGATCACGCCCTGAGCCGAAGGCAGACGCTCAACCGCTGAGCCACCCAGGCGTCTTCCCTTACTGCCTTTAGATGTGGTCTGTGTCTGGAAACGATTTTGCCCATTAGCTTGCGGTCTTATGGCAAAGTGCTTATGAATGGCCACTGTCGCGTTTATCTCTTTGGTATCGTCAAAGCTGGGGCTGTGCTGGACCCTCGAGGGGACAGCTGGGATTGCTCTCTCAACCCGGAAGGCTGAAGCTATGATCCCAGAGCCTATCACACTAGGAGCCCCCAAAAGGTTTAAAGCTGTGACCTGGAGCAGCATAATCTCACAACGATTGAAGCTTTTCTAAAAAGAGAAAATGTCCTTCTTCTGAAAGAGCTGAGCATGGACATTTACTGACGGCAGATTACTCCATGGCAAGAGGTCATGGTCATTCACTTATTAATATACACTGGCTGCCTGTTTTGTGCTGGTCGCCATGGCATTAGACCCCAAAAGCATAGAATAGAAAGTTGTCTCCGGGCCTCAGTGAGCCTGCAGTCTGGGAGGTGAGAGCCCAAGGGGAGGACAGTGCTCAGGTCCTGCTGTGATGGCGGGACACCAGAGTGTCTGTGGGCATGCCTGGCTCTTCCCCAGCTTCCCTGGGGAGGTGAAGTCAGTCGTGGCCTTCTCGGGACTCGTCAGAACCAGTGTACTTGGGCCAGGTGGGAAGAAAGTACTCCAGGCCGAGAAGGACAGATGCACACGTGTGCATCGTGGTGTGAGGGGACACCCAGGCAGGGCCTTGGGGGACATTCTTTAAACAAAGTGGTATCATGGTTGAAAGAAAAGTCAGCCCCTTGGTTCCTCCTGAGAAACAGCTTCCAGCTCTGCGGAATTGAAGATTTTCCTCTTGGGCAGCCGTTTTGGTTTTTTATCATGAGAATTTAAATTGCAGTATTCAGATTCACATTTTTGAGGTATGCTTTCAGAAATATTTTGTGTTTTTCTTCCCTGATACTTATGGAGTTGAAAGTCACATCACATAAAATCATCCATTTTGAAGTGAACATTTCAGCGGGATAGAGCACGTGCACAAATAATTCACTTTTTCAGAGCGTGTGTAAGGAGGGGTCATGAGGGGGCCTCTGCTGCCCACTCGGGACTGACCAGTTTTGCTCTTTCCCCGCAGGGTCTGTCCCTCCTGGCAGGAGAAGTCCAGCTCGCTAAAGGGAGCCCCAGTCGAGGTGAAGATCCAAGGTGGGTCTGTGTTATGGGAGTTTGGAGTGGGGTGGTGGATTCTGGACAAATCTGAGCTTATGCATGGCCTCCTTAGCAAGTTGTACCGAATTTCCCATGGGATGGTGTTTACTTCTGGCTGGTGCATACCCTGGAGATCTTGCCAGAGCCTTCTAGAATCGCAGCACACCCCTCCGCACTCACACACTGCGGATAGACAACGGGGACAGTTCTTATATGGGCATGTGAGCAAGATCAAGGATGTGTGACCCTGTCCGGCCCATCCATGAAGGCACTGGAGGCAGAGACTGGTTCTTGCCAATGCTTCCGACGGTTCACTCCCCATCTTCCCGCTACGTGCACGCTGGGCAGCTCTCCACAGGGGCTTGTCTCATAACTGTTTCTTTTCTATCCTTTGTTGGCAGAAACTGTCCTTAATCCGGTAACAAATATTAGGTAACGGGAAGTAAATTACAGCCCTCAACGTGGGGTCTCTAAAAGTCTATTTTTCTCTGGGCCTGCATTTGGCTCAGCAGCTCTGGTGGGGGGGGGGGTGACCTGGACCTTGGAGCCCAGCCCTCACTGCCAGATTAGATGTCCAGGGACAGTTATCCTCGAGGCCGAAATGGGCCAGAAGAATGGGGCGTTGTATCTTGGAGCCTGCAGGGCTGGCCTGTGGGCCGGCCCGGACTGCACAGAAGCACCGCCCTCCCCGGTGTGTTACATCTGGCACTTTCCTACTGCTGGGACCATGTCCAGGCCTGGCAAACCTGGCCGTCAGACGACACTGGAATTCTTTAACGCGCACCCCTCAAGGATTCCAACCCTGCCCTTAGCCCAGCCAAAGCCTTGACTTTGCCATCCCCAGCCTTGGCTTCTTCTTCCGTGATGTGGGGGTGATAACCTCAGCCTTGCCCACCTCATGGGAGTGCGCGGAGTGTCAGAGCAGGTGGTAGACACAAGTGTCTGTCCATGGGTAGATTCCTCTGAAGAGGATTCGGAGGATTCATGAATTCATTTGACCTGTATTTGTAGAGCATTTCCTGTGCACCTGGCATTGTGCTCGGTGCTGGCTGCGGCCATGGATCGTGCCGCTCACGTGGCACTTGTGTGCCAGCTGGGGAAGACAGGTGGTAAATGAAGGCAGCAAAATTCTGTACTGGATGGTGAGAAGTGCCATAAACCGAGCCAGGTGAGGGCAAAGTGGCACATGGGTGGGTTGGGAGAAGGGTGGTCCTGTTCAGTTAAGGTCGTTGAGGAAAGCCTCCCCATTAAACACACCAATAAAAAATAAATTTATTATTAAAAAAAACAAATTTATTTTAAAAATCATCTCCATAAAAAAAAAAACACAGACTTGCAGTGAGGGAGGAAGCAAGCTGGGCACATAGCAGAAAGAATAGAGTTCAGGGCAAGAGAACAGCAAGTGCAAAGGGCCTGAGCTGGGCTTGCATGTGCCTTGTGGCTGTGAGGAGCACCCAGGAGGCCCGGGTGGCTGGTGCAGAGTGGAGGGCAAGAGGGGAGTGGCGGGGTGAGGGCCGAGAGGCAGCTGGGCTGGCCACATCAGGCCCTGGAAGGACAGCTTTTATGCTGAGGAAAGCTGCGGCCTGACTTCAGGTTTAACAGGGTCCCTAAGGCCACTGAGCTGAGAACAGGAGGCCTGGGCAGAGGCAGGGAGACCGCTGGAAGGCTGTTGCGGTGATGCAGGCAGGAGACAGGAGGGGGCCCGCAGAGTGGAGCGTTGGCCAGATCCTGGGCTTACCGTGAACGGTGGGTTGGCCACACTCACCAAGACTTGGATATGGGCTAAGCAGGAGAGGATCCGTGGAGGACACGAGGATTTGGGGTGAAGGGTTGTGGGCAGTGGGCATGCTTAGGGGTGTAACTGCTAGTCATACAGTGTTTCCAGGGTTACTAATGCTTTCACGCGGACGCTCTGCTTGCTTCTTGCCCGGATCTTTCCAAAGCAGATGCCAGAGTTATGCCTGTTCTACTGCTGAGCCATCCGGGGGTAGGAGCTGGGCCTTGCCTATGAAGGAGTAAGGGCATTGCTACAGGGCCAGGTCGGGGCTCAGGGCAGGCATTGGCCCCAGGCTTTCTAGCTCCAAGCCTTGGCCCTTCTCCATATACCAGATGCTTACTCAGAAAATGTCCAGAGCACCCTGTAAGATGTGGCTGGGCAGTCCCTGCACCACGCTGTGACTCGGTTTCCCAATCTGTAAAATGGGGCTGCGGCCCACCTCCTAGAGTTGCCAGCAAAGTGAAAGGAGATGATGCTGATAAAGGCCTGTGGGAAACTGATGCACATGAGCCGTGGTTCCTTCTGCTTTGACCTGGCGAGTTCTCTGGAAGGGTGGTGGCATATAGCAGCCTGGGAAGGTTCCCTGACCACTGTCAGCTTCTCAGGTAGCTGGCTGGCCTCTGCTAGATGCCAGGGTTCCTTATGTGGAAGAGCATCAAATGCGACCCCTTATTTCCGTCCAGGAAACCGATGCCCAGGGATGTGCAAGTCACACAGCAAGAAGCAGTCCTGAGGGTGTTGTCCCCCTGCCTCCTGTCCGCCCAGGCCTTCCGGGCCCCAGCCTGGCTCCTTGGGCAGCAGCCTGCCAATGCCGGAGCAGGAGTGCTCTCACCAGAGTGGCGCCCGGCACTCTGCACGTTCGCGCACCCCTGGGTGCACGGTGTCCTCTCCTGTTTGGCTGGGCGTCTGCAGTAACAGGAGACCCTGTGTTCCAACAGAGATGGTGAAACTGGGCCATGAGCTGATGCTGTGTGGGCTGGCTGACCAGGAGCTCCTGAAGGTAAGACAGGGTCCTCTCTGTCCCCACAGACTGGGGTCCTCAGTAAGGCTGGTTAGGGGTGGGAAGGGTTTCTTCCTCCAGGCCTTTGCTCCTCAGGCCAGGGAGCCAGCATCCCCAGCCACTGCTCCTGAGTCTCCCCACCCCGGGGTGGGGGGCGGGCAGGAATCTATAGGATTCCCTTGCACAGACCCCAGCCCTCCCTAGGGCCAAGGGGGGATCACAACTAAGGAGGCTGGAGGCAGATCTCTGGTTATGGTGACCCGAGGGACAGAGCCTATCCTGTCCTTGGCTGAAGACTTCAGACACACTGGCACCATGGTGCTTTGTGTGTCGGCAGTTGGGACACTCATCTGTGGCGGGAGGTACTTGTCCTCGTCCCATTTCACAGGGGAGTTGTCAAACCTAGTCATGCTATGGTCACCTAGTGACAGAGCCTGGCCTCAAACCCAGGCCCCTGGTCCCCAGCCGGCGCACTCATCCCTGACTAGCTGCCCCCTGAAGCTCTCTATACACAGGCGGCCCTAATCCACGCCCACGTCACTCAAAGAATCCGCACCCCCGCCCTTAAAATCTCATCAAAGTTTGAAACGATTATGTTTACATTTTGGCAATTATAAATGATGCTATGAATGCCACTGTGTGTGTTTTTAACTGAAGACATGTTTTGAGTTCTTTTGGGTATATAGCTATGGGTGTAGAACCGGCAGATCAGTGTAGTGATTGTACGCTGAACTTTTTGAGGAATTTTGTGCCAGGCTTTTCCAAAGTGACTGCGCCATTTTACATTCCTACCAGCAGTTGTGTGAGGCTTCCAGTTTCTCCACACCCTCACCAACATCTGTTCATTGTTCGTTGTTTTGACTCCAGCCATCCTGGGGGTGGGGGGGTGGGGAGGGCCATCTCATTGTGGTTTTGATTTGCAGTTCCCTGGTGACTGATGATGCTGAGCATCTTTTCACGTGCCTATTGGTCATTTGTAGGTCTTTACAGAAATGTCCATATTCAATTCTTTGGCCCACTTGATTTGTCTTTCATTGTTGAGTTGTAAGAATTTTTTATATTTCCTGGATACGAACCATGTCAGACCATTCCCATTCCCGATGCATACTCTGGAGCACAAGTTTCTAGTTTTGATGAAGTCTATAATTTATTAACTTTTTCTCTTGTTGCTTGTGCTTTTGGCATTGTATCTAAGAATCCAGTGCCAAATCCAAAGTCATGAAGATCGACGCTTGTGTTACTTCTAAGAGTTATAGTTTTAGTTCTTACAATTAGGTCTTTGATCCATTTTGAGTTAGTTTTATATATGGTGTATGGTATGTGTCCCTCCTCGTTCTTTTGCAAGTACCTGTTTAGTTTTCCCAGCACCGTTTGTTGAAAAGACCATTTGTGCCTCATTGAATTGTCTTGGCATCCTCGTTGAAAATCTTTTAGCTGTAAATGTGAAGGTTTATTTCTGGATTCTCCATTCTGTTCCATTGATCTGTACTTCTGTCCTTATGCCACACTGTCTTGATTACTGTAGCTTTATAGTCAGTCGTAATGTGTGAATCTTTCAATTTTGCTCTTTTTAATGATTGTCGTGGCTATTTTTAACCAAATCCAATTCAGTGAGCCAATTCAGTTCCCTTGGATTTCCATATGAATTTTGGAATCAGGTCGTAAATTTCTGCAAAAGAGCCAACTGGAATTTTGATGAAGATTTTGTTGAATCTGTGGATCATTTTGGAGTATTGTCATCAACTATATTAAGTCTTCCTATACATGAACATGGAGTGTCTTTCCATTTATTTAAGTGTTCCTTAATTTCTTCTGAGGCTGTTTTATAGCTTCCAGTGTACACATCTAAATATATTGCTAAGCATTTTATTCTTTATGATGCTGTTATAATTGGAATTATTTTCTTTAACTTTCATTTAAATTCACCTTAGTTAAAAAAAATAAAAAAATCAATTCACCTTAGTTAACACATAATATATTATTATTTTAGGGGTAGAACTTTGTGATTTGCCAGTTGCATATTACACCTGGTGCTCATTACATCAAGTCCTTCCTTAAGGCCCATCACCCAATTACCCTATCCGCCCACTCCACTCCCCTCCAGCAACCCTCACTTTGTTTCCTAGAGTTGAGAGTCTCTTATGGTTTGCCTCTCTCTGTTTTCATCTTATTTTATCTTCCCTTCCCCTATGTTCATCTGTTTTGTTGCTTAAATTCCATATATGACTGAAAACATATGGTATCTGTCCTCTCTGACTGACTTATTTCGCTTAGCACAATACCCTCTAGTTCCATCCATGTCATTGCAAATGGCAAGATTTCATTCTTTTTGATGCCTGGGTAATACTCCATTTGTGTGTGTGTGTGTGTGTGTGTGTGTGTGTGTGTGTGTACCCCACCCCTTCTTTATCCATTTATCTGTTGATGAACATCTGGACTTTTTCCATAGGTTGGTTGTTGTGGACATTGCTGCTATAAACATTGGGATGCAGGTGCCCCTTCCAATCACTGTTTCTGTCCTTTGGTTAAATACCTAGCAGTGCAATTGCCAGGTCATAGGGGAGCTCCACTTTTAACTTTTTGAGGACCCTCTAGACAGTTTTCCAGAGTGGCTGCACCAGGTTGCACTCCCACCAACAGTGTAAGAGGTTCCCCTTTCTCTGCGTCCTCCCCAACATCTGTTGTTTCCTGACGTGTTCATTTTAGCCATGCTCACTGGTGTGATTTGCATTTCCCTGGTGACTAATGATGTGGAGCAGTTTTTCATGTATCTGTTGGCCATTTGTATGTTTTCTTTAGAGAATTGTCTATTCACATCTTCTGCCCATTTCTGGACTGGATTTTTTGTGTTTTGGGTGTTGAGTTTGATGAGTTTTTTAATAGACTTTGGATGCTAGCCCTTTATCTAATATATCATTTGCAAATATTTTCTCACATTCCATAGATTGCCTTTTAGTTTTATTGACTGTTTCTTTTGCTGTGCAAAACCTTTTTATCCTGATGGAGCCCTAATAGTTCATTTTTGCTTTTGTCTCCCTTGCTTCTAGAGACATGTCTAGCAAGAAGTTGCTGTGACTGAGGTCACAGCAGTTGCTGCCTGTGTTCTCCTTTAGGATTTTGATGGATTCCTGTCCCACATTTAGGTCTTTTGTTCATTTTGAGTTCATCTTTGTGTCTGGTGCAAGAGAATGGTCCAGTTTCATTCTTCTGCGTGTCCAGTTTCCCCAACACCATTTGTTGAAGAGACTGTCTTTTTTCCAGTGGATATCTTTCCTGCTTTGTCAAAATTTAGTTGACCTTGGAATTAAGGATCCGTGTCTGGATTCTCTGTTCTGTTCCTTGGTCTATGTGTCTGTTTTTGTGCTAGAACCATACCGTCTTGATGATCATAGCTTTGTAATGCAGCTTGAAGTCAGACATTGTGATGCCTCCAGGTTTGGTTTTCTTCTTCAACATTCCTTTGGCTATTCAGGGTCTTTTCTGGTTCCATACAAATTTTAGGATTGTTTGTTACAGCTCTGTGAAAAATGCTGGTAGTGTTTCAGTAGGGATGGCATTGAATGTATAGATTGGTTTGGGTAGTATAGACATTTTAATAGTATTTGTTCTTCCAGTCCATGGGCATGGAATGTTTTTCCATTTCTTTGTGTCTTCCTCAGTTTCTTTCATAAGTGTCTGTAGTTTTCAAAGTACAAATACTTTACCTCTTTGGTTAGGTTTATTCCTAGATGTATCTTATGGGTTTTGGTGCAATTGTCATTGGGATTGATTCCTTGATTTCTGTTTCTGCTGCATCACTGTTAGGGTATAGAAATGCAACTGACTTCTATGCATTGATTTTATATCCTGCAACTTTGCTGAATTCCTGTATCAGTTCTAGCAATTTTGGGGGGAGTCTTTTGGGTTTTCTACATGGAGTATCATGTCGCCTGTGAAGAGTGAAGAATAAGTTTGACTTATTCTTTGCTGATTGGGATGCCTTTTTGTTGTTGTCTGATTGCTGAGGCTAAGACTTCCAGCACTATTTTGAACAACAGTGGATGAATGGATCCAAGAGTGGATGTCCTGTCGTGTTACTGACCTTAGGAGAAAAACTCTGTTTTTCCCTGTTGAGGATGATATTCTCTGTGAGTCTTTCATATTTTGCCTTTATGATGTTGAGGTATGTTCCCTCTACCCCTACATGGTGGAGGGTTTTTATCAAGAAAGGATGCTGTATTTTGTCAGATGCTTTTTCTGCTTCTATTCAGAGGATCATATGGTTCTTATCCTTTCTTTCGTTAATGTGATTATCACACTGATTGATTTGAACCACCCTGTAGCCCAGGAATAAATCCCACTTGGTCGTGGTGAGTAATCCTTTTGATGTACTGTTGAATCCTATTGGCTAGCATCTTAGTGAGAATTTTTACATCCATGTTCATTAGGGATATTGGTCTGTAATTCTCCTTTTTAGTGGGGTCTTTGGTTTTGGAATCGAGGTAATACTGGCCTCTTAGAATGAGTTTGGAAGTTTTCCTTCCATTTCTGTCATTTCGGAATAGTTTTAGAAGAAGAGGTATTAATTCTTTAAATGTTTGGTAGAACTCCCCTCGGAAGCCATTCAGCCCTGGACTCTTGTTTGTTGGGAGAAATTTGATTACTGATTCCATTTCTTTGCTGGTTATGGGTCTGTTTAGCTTTTCTATTTCTTCCTGTTTCAGTTTTGGTAGTTTATATGTATCTAGGCATGCATCCATTTCTTCCAGGTTGCCTAATTTGTTGGCATATAATTGCTCATAATATTCTCTTATAATTGTTTGTATTTCTTTGTTATTGGTTGTGATCTCTTTCATTCCTGATTTTATTTGGATCCTTTGTCTTTTCTTTTTGATAAGTCTGGCCAGGGGTTTATTGATCTTATTAATTCTTCCAAAGAAACAGCTTCTAGTTTCATAGATCTGTTCTGTTTTTTATTTTATTTATTTATTTTTAAATATTTTTTTGAAAATTTATTCATA